AAATTAAACCTGAAATAAAAAAATATTTCATCAGATTCAAATCGTAATGGATTAACAGTCTAACACATGTAACACGACAACAAAATAATTCAATTCTAAGGGTTTTTGGTAATTATGAATACTTGAGGGGTTATTTTCGTAATTTGACTTTAGTTCATGAATTATTTTCTCTATTTTTACCCATTATTAAGTGATGGCTACCTTCAATGCAAACTCCATGTCACTAGACCAAAACACGACACTGGCGACGAAAAATTGCGACGAAAATGACCCAGTTGCGACGAAAATCGCATGTTTGCGACGCAAAATATTCGTCGCAATGATGGTCCAAAATCGTTGCTCTGTGTCTCGTCGCAAATACTGCGACGAAATTGTTTTCCGTCGCTCCGTATGCGACGAAACGGTTAAATCGTCGCAATATTTAGATTTTCCTAGAATATTCATTTTATTTTCTATTGCGACGATACATACTCTTTTCGTCGCAATATATTGCGACTTTAAAGTCATAATCGTCGCAAATAATTTAGATGTTTTTGCGTCAAAATATTTGATTTCGTCGATACACTAAAGTCAATTTGCGACGATAGTGGATCCATAATTCGTCGCATATCTGTAGCTATTGCGTCGAAATATATTTGGTCCCAAAATAAATATTTTTTCTTTTGCGACGATTTCAATTTTTAGTCGCAACTGCAACTGCTTTTTTTTTCTTAAATTAGATTTTTTTTTCTAATAAAAAATTAAATATGTACATCAATTGCAATAAATAAAATTAGCTATTACATCAAATATCAAAACACATTAAAAATTATGTCTTACATTAAAAGTAAATATTAAGGTAACACACAAATATGAATTCAAAAAATACATAAACTCAAAATAAAGTCGTACATAAGAAAAAAAAATTAAGTCGCACACAAACATGAATCCAAGTAAGACAAACAAGAATTAATCCTTGTTTTGCGCCCACACGTTTAATCCCAACTCCTTTAGACTTTACCAACACTCTTTCATAATCTAATGAGTTGGCCGTACTTTCGTCACTTCCACCAAGTTACGCTCTTCATAAACTTTCTCCAATTCAACCTAAACAACTTAAGTGCACAAGTTAAACCCAAATTTCGGCGGCATAACGACTAAAATACAAACATACAAAAAAATACCCGTATCAATATACAATAACCAATATATCCAAAAAATACATAAATCCATATATATCAACTACTAATTCAACATATCAATATTGTGCTTGCATATCAACATATCAATGTACAATCAAATAATAGATCGGAACTACGCCATTAATACATAAATTTTGAAATAAATCCCAACTTAGCATTCAACAATAAGAGCAAACATGGATAATTGAGATACTAAAATTGAAGTATTAAAAATATTGTGCTTACAGAAATAGGAAGTTGGTCGGGAGTTGCAACTTTTAGATTATATTCGTCGCAATTGTGTTTTAAATTTATATAAAATATTGATTATCGGATGCGACGTTTTAATTTTCGACGCCTGAGTTCTTCAATTTAATACTTATACGACGTTACTTTATGAATCGTCGCAAACATATAATTACAAAATTAATATTTTAATCTATTTCGTGCGACGATTCTATGTTTCGTCGCAATCGTATTTTTTATTTATCTAAAATTTTGATTTTAATATGCGACGTATTCATTTTCGACACAAGAATTTCTGAATTGGGAAGATATGCGACGTTACTGTCGAAATCGTCGCAAACTTATGCTTAATAAAATAAAATTTTAATCTTCTCTCTGCAACGATTATCTAGTTTCGTCGCAATCGTGTCAAAAATTAATTTTACGGAGCAACTTGCGACGTATTTCTAGTTTCGTCGCAATTATTTAATTTTATAAATGTTGAAATCTTATTTATTGCGTCGTTTTGATTATTATCGTCGCAACTGATGTATGTAATTTTTTTGTTATTAACTGTTGCGACGATTTTTAATTTTCGTCGTTCAATTGCGACGATTACGGAGAATCGTCGCATATGTTTGAAGTTAAATTGGATCTTAAACTGATTGCGACGTTTTGGGTACAATAACGTCGCAATACTGCGACGAAACATGAATCGTCGCAAATAAAATCGTCGCCAGAGTGCAATTTTGGCCTAGTGTGTATAGAGAAAAATAATAAATAAGACAGTTGTATTGATTAATTATTGTGTCGGGTACAATAATATATATTATGTCGAAATCAGATTATTATATGTACCTACCCGTCTTGAAATTATGGGAAATCTGATTAGTATTAATAATAGTTCTGAAGGGAGAAAATCTTCTCACTCTCACAACCACCATCTTCTTATCTTTTATAAATTAAATTAAACCCCTACTTGGTAAGTCGACGACTATGGACGACGACGATCAGCTCGAAAAACTCGAGCAGCGAACAAACTGGGACGGCTGGCGGATCGTCAAATACCAAGGGTTTTGGTGCCCGCTGCCTTTTTTCCGAGCAGCGCTATCCGCTCAAAAGTACTTCAAAGCAAAAGATTCCGACATTATACTTTCGTCACTTCCTAAATCTGGAACCACCTGGTTGAAAGCCCTCGCTTTTTCCGTCGCTAATCGCAGTACTTACATGAGCAACATCGATACTACTCAAATTAGCCCTTTGCTCACTAGCAATCCTCACAAAGTCGTCCCTCATCTCGAGCTAAACCTTTATCTAAACCAAGAAAATCCCGATCTCGAACAAACTAGCGCTCCGAGGATCTTTTCGACACACATGCCTTTCCATGCCCTCCCCAATTCCATCCCTAAATCCGGGTGCAAGATTATCTACATCTGCAGAAACCCTATGGACCAGTTCATCTCGTTCCGCCATTTCTCGCTCGACAACAAGTTCGGAGAAGAAGATCGCCATGGGGGCCCTGTTGAGTTGGACGAGGCTTTCGACATGTTCTGCGACGGGGTCCATCTGTACGGCCCGTTTTACGAGCATATAACTGGATACTGGGATGCGCACTTGAAGAATCCCGACAAGGTGTTGTTCCTCAAGTACGAGGATTTGAAAGACGACATCGGCCTTCATGTAAGGAAGATTGCCGAGTTTATGGGGTGCCCTTTCTCTCAGGAGGAAGAAGAACGGGGTTTGGTGGAGGAAATATGTAGGGTTTGCAGCTTCGATAACCTCAAGAATTTGGAGGTGAACAAGAGTGGGTCTTTTAATGGTAGAGTGAAGAACAGTTCATTCTTTAGGAAAGGAGAAGTTGGTGATTGGGCGAATCATCTTACTCCCGCCATGGCTGAAAGAATGGACAAGTTGATCAACACTAAACTTGAGGGCTCTGGTTTAACACTACGTACACATCAACACCAAAAAGCTACCTGAAGATGAAGATGAAGATGAAGATTAATTAATTAAGCTACTATATATATTGAACTATATGCTTTTAATTCTCTCTATCATGTATTGTAATTTACAGTGTTGTTTGTATTTATGTTTTCAGTGTGTGTGTGTGTGTGTTCATTACAAATAAACGAACCCTATATATCATGGGTTCTTTCTTGTTTCCGGATTCAATATGTTGAACTATAGTTTTTACTAGTCCCAATCTTTTAGGCTCTGACTCGTTTGCGTAAAATAAGTGGTAAAAAGGTGAAAAAACTAAGTAAAATGTTTTACTTGTTTGGTTGAGAGGTAAAATGGTATGTAGTGTAAATTGGGGAAAAAGGTGAAAATATTTTGAACTTAAAATAAGGAAAAGTCGTTTTCCTAAAAAAAATTGAAGAAAAGACAATGTAAAATTTCATCGGCTCTCTCAGACTCCCGATACCCCATCCCTATCCCTGCATGGCTGCATCTACTATCATTGCCCTCCGCCGCCGATGCCGCCACTAACTCCACTCGAGGAACCAAAAAGGACAATAAGCTTGCCAAACCACCGCCACAAGTCATCCACCGGAGAAACTAGAAAGCAACCAAGACGATAACCACCATCCCCTCACCACTTCACCTAATTCAGCAAGTATTTGAGATAATTTTTGTTTTTAAATTTAATTTATTTTTTAATAATGATTTATTGTTATTTTTATTTTACTTGACATTTTCTTCATCAATTTTTCTAGGACCTAAACAAAATCAAGGAAGGGGATTTTTGAGAAAGTCATTTTCATCACCATTTTGCTTAGGTTCCAAACACAATTGGATTTTTAAAAGTTATTGATTTTTTTTTTTCCTTTGCATTTTCATTTTCATTATTTTGAAATTCATAAACTATTCAGAGCCTTAATTTCGTTAAAATTAAGAATATTAATGACCGTAATAATAGTAATAAAAGGGGTTCTTATCAATAAGTCCCTGACCAACCATCTTTGTTATTCTAGGTTCATGGGTTATATTTCTTTCGCCAATAAGTTAATCTCTTTAATATGTATTATAAATAAAGACAAAATTAATGTATATGACAAAATTACCCCCAAACCTTTAAATCTAATTCCTAGTTGTAACCCCAATTTAATTTCAATTTCGCATAAATCCCCCATATATTGAAAAAAATCATGCACCAAACTCCCTTGTGTTATGAAAAACTTGCATGCAATCTCCTAAATAGTTAACGGTGTTAATTGTTAACGAAATGGGATATTTCATACAAGGTAGAATAAAACAAAGTGGGATTCCACGCAATAAAATTAAGACAGAGAAATTTTGTGCATGTTTTTCATAACACGAGGGATTTTTATGCAGTTTACCCAGTATTATAAGAATAAAAATGAAGATATGAGAGCTCTTCCCTTTCATATATGAACTGATCTCGCAATGGTCAATTCATACACCTATTGCCCAGATCTTCTGGATTGAATTCCTAACAAGACTCAAGACATAGAAACCAAGTTCTTAGTACAAAAGAATATAAACAGACTCAGATAATGTAGTGAATACAAAAAAACATAGCAATATAATGTATTTTTCTGGTTGTGTTCAACATTCTTCACAGTACTCAATATCTATCAGCTCTCAATTATGGTTCGCCGGAACGTCGCGGTCGGTCGTCGCGGACATCGCCGTTCTAGTTCCATTGCAATGTCACGGCTGCGTCGCGACCGGAACGGACAAATTATAATTAAAATGCGAAAAATTAGAATTAATGTCAAATAAATTTTTAGTATTAATATTATAGTAGAATAATATACAAGCTATCCTTAAAACTCCTATTTTAATTTTAGAACAAGTTTTAAAACCTTGAGAAGTAGAATTAAGGGTGAAAATGTAAGTTATGAAATTATCTCTTTACTTTAAGAGAAATAAAAAAAAATATGACTAAATTGCAAATTTTGAAAACTTAAAAAACCTACTCATAAATTTAGGGCTGGCAATCGGGCCGTGTGAGCCGAGCCTGGGTCGGCTCAAGCTCATATACCATCGGGCCTCAATATTATAGGCTCAAGCTCAAATACCATCGGGCCTCATGCCTATAGGCTCAAACTCGGCTCACGTATTTTTTCGGGTTTCGGGTTTATATCGGGCTTATATCGGGCAATAAATAAATTACATATTTTACAACTTTGTAGTCGGACGTGTGAAAGAAAAAAAAGCTTCACAGTCTAAGAGAAAATTTAGAATATTCATTGAAAATCAAAATAGGCTAAAAAAAAAAACCATAGTCTACTGTTCATTAAAACAAATGAAGGTTATTGTTGCAAATATTTAATCATTAATTAATTATATGAAAAAATGCATCCGAGTCCAAAATATAAAAAAACATAAAATAAAATAACTAAAAGCAATGATAAATGTCCTCCTATCTCTTTTCGAAAATCTTGATTCATGAAATATATATATATATATATATATATATATTCGGACTTTATTCGGGCTGAGCCATGCTAAACTCAAACTCGGCTCATAATTTAATTGGGTTTAATGAAACGGCTCAAATTCGGCCCGGCTCACAATTAATCGGGCTCGGCTCAAATAAAATCGGGCCGAGCTATCGGGCTTCGTGTAGGCCCGGCTCAATTGCCGGTTCCACTCATAATCATGACACGTCATTCCCTAGCCCCAAATCAATACATTTAAAGTGTTGGAGCTAATTGTAATTTTTTTAAAATTTTAATTAAAAGTGAAAACTTAAAACTCTAGTTTGAGATCCCTAAATCGTCCTTGCAGATATGAAGAAGTAAATTATGACGATTCATGTTGTTCCAGACCATTTCGGTACGTGTGACAGCCGCGACCATCCGTTTTGTTGCTATGTCCCAATGTTCCGGCCGTTTTTTGCCCTTTTGGCAACGTTTTTCGTTGTGGAACGGTTGGTTATGGTTTCGGGAACGGAGGGCACCGTTCCCGTTACGTTCTGGCCGTTCCGGCGAACCATGCTCTCAACTCTTCTTCTCTCGAAACTCCACATTTCAAATGATTGATTGAGCGGTTATTTATAGACTTTATACACCTTGCGTACATGGCCTGTAAGGAAACCTAAAAACATACAATAAAAAATGGGGTTTTTTGCAAGAACCACCCTTGTGTAATCTTTAATTGCTGAAAACCCCTCGTGTTAAAAAAATTAGCAAGGACCCGCCTATGAAAGTTAGTCAAAGCCAATAAGGCCCCTAACATCTTATCTTGTTCTACACGCGCACATTGTGCGGCTGGGCTGCATATTTTGACCTGAAAACATATAAATACCCTTTAAATAAAAAGTGGAAAATTACATATTGGCCCCAAAATTTTCATAACCCCAAATTGAAACTTTAAGAATTTTCAATTGAGCCCTTAACAATTTCTAAAACGCCCTCTCTCCAAATCATCTCATCCCCAATCAAACTCTCCACAATTTTCACGCAAAACACACACACAATGCTTCCTGATGGTGCCCCCTTTGCAAATATATTTTTTTTCCTGCAAAATGTTTGGAAGGTACCTCACCAAAACAACCCACTCCCAAATCTGCCTTTCCTCTGTTCCATCTCTCTCGAGAAACTCCGACCACTTCAACCGGCGACATATTCCACAGTTCCGTCGACGAAGAAGGGGCACGAGCATGTTGAGTATGGGGCGACGGCGGCGGGTGGGTATGGTGACGGGGGCAGCGTATGGCGGCAGAGTATGGGGCGGGGGCAGCGGCGGTAATGGCGGTTGGGTATGGTGGTGACGGCTAACACCGGCAGAGTATGGGGCGGCGGCGGCGGCGGCGGTGGGTGGAGGTAATGGAGGTTGGGTATGGTGGTGGAAGATTGAAGGAAGAAGGGGAACAACAAAAATGGCTTATTTGCTGATTGTTGAAGAAGAATTATTTTGGGTGGGGGTGGGTCAACGGGGACAGGAAGACTCTTCTCCATATTTCTTGTTTTTTTTTTTCACGAATTTTCAATTGGATTTTCGGTATATTGCAAGGTTAATTTTGTCATTTCATTTAAGTCAACAACTAAATCTGATAAAAAGGGTTGTGTGCTATACAAAACCAAACATAAGGGGGTATTTGCTAATTATTTTATCACGAGGGCTTTTATGCCAATTAGAAATAACACAGGGGGGTCTGTGCTATTAGCTCTAAAAAATGGGTTAGTGAGTTAGTTAAATAGTGATTATAAACATTCCACTAAACCCCTTATGCAAAAACCGAAAAGCAACTTTTCCAACCATGATCCAAATCGGTTAAGATGGTCAAAACATGTTTGCACCATCGTCCGATAATGAATTGGTAAATTCACGACTAAGAGCTGAAATAACAACAATGAGTATTTTCTGAACTTCCGCCTCAACAACCCAAATCGCATATGCAGCAGTGGAACCAAATTCAGTCTTAATTCTAAGATCGATGAAAACCAAAAAAATTGTTTAACAACAATGAGTATTTTTTTTTTTATTTTTTTTTATTTTTTTGTAAGAATTAATTATTCACTATTAAGACTTGATATTTTTAATAGAGGAGGTACATATAGTGTATAAAAATAATTTGTAATATATGTAATAAGGTCAAACAGACAAACACTCAAAAAATCACAACTAACACTTCTTAAATGATCGATAAAATTAAAAAAAATCTCCTCATACACAACGGCTAGTACAAAGGGATCAGATTTTATTATTATTATTACAAACACCCCTAAGGTATGGTCAATTTACAAAAAAAAACCCTCTTGTTTGGATAATTACATCTACCCCCTCAACTATGATTTTTTCTTCCACCTCCACCCTTATGGTGTCAAATTCAACATAATCATCTAGATTTCGTGGAATATGCTCTAGTTTGTACTCGTTTTGTGTACAAATACAGTTTCTGATGCACCACAATCTGATATATAGAAGCCAAAAAACACATATTATGATCATCTTGCTTCGAAATGTAGAGTTCAAATGGGATAAAACAGGTACAAAAATGATAATATTTCATATAATATAATCTCGAATATTCCACTAAATTTAAGGAGTTGA